AATAGAATTTTATTTCGGGACACACACATGTGCGCACGTGTCTGGCTGGGGGTAGGTTCGGCATTTGCATAGCGTGTTCGGTGCGTTTTGTTTCATTTCAGCCGAACTTGTATATTTGTGTACGATAAAGCCCAGGGAGCATAATCACGACAGACGCTGATGGATCACATTTTGATATACATAAGCTACTTTTACAACTCGCACAATAATAATAATTACGGCCGCCCATTTCGGAGCCGAACGCGCGCGCGATATGCATCATACCTCTGGCCACACTCGTGACACGGTTTGCGGTGTAAATGGCTGTTAATTGGGTCCGTCCGCTGGGGCAGGGGACCGACAAGTCAATTTAAAACCTATTTATCGTTGACGATTTCGACAAGTATAGCTTTTTGTCAACACCTTAAAAAATCTTTAATTTTGATTTTAGATTCCAAAAATCTTGACTAAACTTCGATCAGATGCCGCCAAAATTTGACATATTTCATGGGGTCACTCCTCAATTAAGGATGAGTCAAATTTAGAATAATAACATCGCCCCTCGAAAAGGTCTAAAAGTTATTATGGTGAGAATTAAATACGATTCTCTGGTTTGAGTTTTCATTCTCTTAGTTAGGAATGCGAAGGTTGAAGACTTGGTTATTTTTTCTACTTTCTTAAGCTAAAATTCAAAGAAAAAATTGAAACATCACATGAGGGAGTTTTTAACTATAACGTCGTGAACAAAATGAAACTTTTTTATTCACCCACGATAAGCTCCAGGAGATCTTTTAGTTTTTGATGTCGCCTACTAACGTGCATATCCCGGTCGACGTGGCGTTTGATAAAAAATTTAATAAAAGTTATACACCAACGTCATGTATGTATTTTTTTTTTTAATACGATAGAGAGCTCAAAGTTTTGTTGCACACGGGGCTGCCGGTGTAATGCATAAACAATTTTTGCCGCTCCTCCGCTCTGCTCTTTGCGTTTAATTTTTCATCAACTCGTGATACGAGAGTCTTTGACGGCATACGTGCCTGAATGAGATCCGTCTTGCAAGATACAATTATGAGATAAACGCACACGAGAGGTGTTCCGCCGCGCTCCGGGACGCTCCAGCTGAATGGCGTCGAATGCACCTCGCTCGCGACGTGCCCTTTTCTCAAGGCTGCTGATCGACGTGCGAATAGCGCCATGGGAAATCAATCGGATCAATCAACAACCAGCAGTTCTTCTGCCTCTGACACACACACACACACACGTGAGGAAAAGAAGAAATTTCTTTTTTTTATGGAGTAGAAACGGACAAAACATCAAATTCTATAACAAAAGAATACAAGCAAATCTCCCTCAATAGTCCTATTCAGTCGTTTTTTATTTTTATGTAATATTTTGTACGATTTTAATGAGACCAAGCTGTTCATAACTTTTTTTAAAATTTGGAAGAATACATGAAATTGAATTTAATTCAATCATCTTCGATAAAATGATTTAAAATTTAATGAAGAATTGAATGTTCATTTTCGCCACTTGAAATTAACTTTACTTAATTATGATTAATGTTAAAAAGTCAAATTTAAAATAAAACGACAATTTCAATATTAAAGACAATTAACATTTTTTTTTAACCTAAAAATTAATTAAATAGTGCAATTCTAGCTCTATTCAATTCAAAGTTGCAAATTTGGAGTCTTAAAAAATTATTTAATTTGATCATCTTTTTAATAAATTTAAAAAGAATGTGTAAAATGGGAGTGTTAAATTTCACTTAACAGCAAACTGACGTTGAAAATTAAAATTAAATTATGTACGATTTATAACTAAAAATAGAAAATTTGATTATTATCGTTTCTACTCTGACTGAGATTTAACAATGCATTTGTTTAGTGACCGTGTGTGACAGAAAGCAGTGCACCACGCGTCCTTTGCATTATTTTCGAGGGCATTATCGTGTCCGCCGCGTGTCACGTCCCTTAGTATAGCCGGCTTGAAAGGCGGGCAGGAAGTTGTGTGTGTTCGCGCCCTTCTTGTCGGACGCGACGCCGCATTTGTCACATTTCATGCTGCGCTCTCTCTCTCTCTCTCTGCACCCGGCACATACAAATGTCCTATGTACTTATGCGTCCATATATGTTCAGTACATACGGAGCCGTAAACTCGGAAAGGGCTGCACGTGGATTTGGATGAGCGGCATGCAATGATGTATGAAATGTCTCGCTCTCTCGCGCGCGCGCCCAATCAATAATTCACCATCGAGACATGCAACTGTATACATACGAACCGCCGCCGCCATCGCGTGGCTATATTTTCTCGCCGCTGAATTATTCTCAGGTGGATCCGCCGCACACGCTGCTGACGACGGATGCCCAAAGCCCCAGGATTTTCCTGATGCGGGCTTCCGAACTTCCGATCTGTCCCAATGCTTCGCCGACTATGAAAAAAAAAATACGTGGTGATTATTTGTGTATCTTATTTGTTTATCATAAATCATTTGGCACTTTGAGGAGTTAAAAAAAATTTTTTTTTTTAATTAAACTAAATTATCAAATTAAACAGCGCAAAAAAAAATCATTTTTTTTTAATGAGAATAAATTTAAATTCGATTACAGATATAAAGAAAATAAACCTTCTGTAAAATTTTGCATTTTATGGTGGAAACATGTTTAGCCCGTGAATTTTAAGTGCAAAAAAGATTATCTTTATTCAAATGAATTTCTCATTAAAATTGTCCCTTTATTAAATCGCATATATTTCACAAGGGCTTCTCTGGACTGAATTTATAAGAGAGATTTGTATGAAATTTATTTTGGAAATTGGAATTAATAAAATTATCCGTTATTATCTGACCAGTGTTTACGTCATACAAAAACTCTTCTTGTTCTAATTGCCCTTAGCAATCCAAGCTTTGGGAAGTTGTTCTCTCCGACTAGTCTCTCAGTCTGTCGAAAGATGTTTTTTCTCTTCCTCCCTGAAAGTCCCTACTCCTCTTCCTCTCTCTCAGCTTCTCTTTCGCTAACAGTTTTTCTTTTCATGTTTTCCCGTGTAGTATTAATGGATCATTGAAGTGAAGTGAACAATGGCGTTCTACATCCATCATGTCAAACTGCTGGAAATCTCTTTTCCCTCTGTAACTCTCTGTATATCACAGCCCCCAACTCGTCTTCCTCCCACTCGCTGTCGACGGATAAAAAACTTCCTTTCGAATCATCTACAAAATTATACAATATCACATGCCACGATAAAGTGGCGTGATTTGTTGGCTTTTAATGCAATATAATTTTCGCTAATGACGCGGGAATAGACAGAGGCATTTCATTGTCACTTGTGTGCCCGCGATGGCGCTATTTATTAGCACACACGCCGAATCCCCATAAATCAGTTTATTATGCCAGAGCCTGCTGCTGGCTGTACGCGTCGCGTAATGATATTTAAATAAATAGCACAGCACTCTGCGCCGACAAAATGGATTTGTTCCTGTTTCCTATTGTGTTATTCCTTCATAATGGATTTCACATTTCAGCAGTCCAATTTAAATCCTCTAAACGTCAACAACCGTCAATATAAAATATTTTTGTTCCAATCATATACAGTATCAAATTAAAAAAGTAAGTTTCATTTTATGATATTTTATTTCAAATAATTTAAAAGTCCATAATTCTTCGCAATAATTCAGTTCTCATATAATAAGACATGACAATATTAAGATAAATTTAATTATTTGTATCTAAGCTAATCTGTAATCTGTTACAAAAATCGCCTGAATAGTATTTTTTTGTTTAACATATTTAAACAATTACAAAATCTAAACTCTAAAATCTTGAATAATTTATAAAAAATTAAGTAGATACTAAATAATTTAATCCCTTCAAAAAAGAAATAAATTGCGTAAATTTTCAATATTTATAATGTTATACCAAAAAAATTATTATAGTTGTATTTGTAGTTAAAAATTAAAAAAAAAACGTACAATTTAAGTTTCAGAACTTTTACGCTTTAAAATAAACTATCTTTATTTCCTCTACGTTATTTTTGTTTAAATTGAAAAGATATAAACAGAATTTGCCGAATTTGCCATCAAATTAACTCAACAAATAATTTAAAACTTGGCCTGAAATCTTAATCTTAATCTTTTTTTAACAAACACGTATTTGTTATCTCCTATTTAACTTTCATAGTATACAAAAGATTACACAAATTTGTTATCAAAAAATCAACATTACAGCGCGATAATAAAAAAAAAATATTGTAGAAACATTCTCACAAATTATATTACTAGTAAATTATCCAGCATTTCGCATAAACTTGAACTTCACAACGGTGACCTGAATGGGTTGAATCGCCCTCGATTATTCCACGATTCAATTAGACCGTGAAAAATTCCAGCTGGCTCTATTAATAGCCGGCGCGCATTTTCGTGTGTCAACGATAAAAATCTTGTTGAAAAGTTGCGCCGCGACCTTAACTCACTTACCGGCGCCGGATAATTAGAGATAAGAGCGCGAGTGCGGAAAGCAAGTTTTGCTCCAAACTGAATTTCACAGGCAATTACATAAATCAACGCGCGAGATGAAAAGAGAAAATCCATAAATATTGTGCCCTTCTCGTGGCGGCGGCAGTTCTCTTTCTGTGACAAGTTTAAATGAAACGGCAAGAAAAGCAATTTATATCAAGTGCCTCGGCAACGTGCTGACATACAAAAAACATCAGATTTTCTTGCATTTCCGCGATTACTTTTAAATAACTTTTCTCCTTCAGAAAACAATATTTTGCTTTCGGATCAAATAAAAATAAATTCATTGGCAGATGGAAATGACGCCGGAGAATTTCGCATTCAAACTATTTCTCCGACCTAATTTTCCGTTCTTGGAATTCCACTCGTCTTCGACCCTTTTTTTCCTTCTGACTAAAATTAGATCAGCTCTTCCAGCTCTCCCAATATCATTTGAATTTGCATCGACGAGAGGAAATTTAATTATTTTTGAACAACAGAGCTCATTGCTGTGTAAATTGTGTTCCAGATGGCGAACCGATCAAGCTGCCTGAAAACCTAGAGAGCCTACCTAAGGCGGACCACTTCCCGACGCAGAGGCACCGCTGGAATACCAATGAGGTGAGTGAAAGCCCGCCGAGTCTCTAAATTCTCGCAACATCAGCCTTCTTACGGCAAATCCTGAGTAATGAGCTTGCATCACATCTCGTGTCGCGCGCGCGACCTTCGCAAGCTCTTTGACCTTGTCACACCGAGATCAACCGCGCAAAAATACCTATAAAACATGCACATCGTCAAGATGAAACATAGACAGCTAGCGTTATAAAGTTAGGAATTTCTATTTTAATTCTGATTTTTTTACTATTTTATTACCAATTCGTCACAAAAAGTTTCGGTTAATTTTTTATTTTAAACTGCTGTATGAAAATTTTTATTCTTATAATTATTTAGATAATGTTTGCATTTTGGTCTTTATGATATATTTTACAGATAAAGATGTTTTTAAATATTTTTATCGCAATAAATTTATTAAATCAGCAGGACAGAAATCAAAATCTTACATGAAGAAAAGAAGATCTTTTATAGAGGGATTTCAGTATCATATCAGGTAGCAGAGAACTGATTATCAGCTGATTATGAATATTAAAAAAATCGACGTTTTTGATCACAAAGTTTTTATTTCTCATATCTTTTTATTGTAAATAATTGTATTACTTAAGTAACAATTGTTTAACCTATTTTGTGAAAATGGATCACTCATTTGAAAAATTTTAAATATTTTATTTAAAATCATAAGCATCATTTTAAAATTTGAAACTGATACAGATGCAACAAACTATTTTAATTACAGTGAAAATTTTTACATTTTTTATATTATGCATGGTAGCAAGCTTCGCGCATCCCACGTTTGAATCGGTGGAGGGGGAAATAGCACCCAATCAGAGGCGAGCGCTTATACATTGCGTGAATGGAACTAGCGGCGGCCTTTCGAAGTGGCGGGAAGGGACGCGCGAACTTTGCATGGTAGCAAAAAGTGTTGCATCTTTTAGGCAAAATATACATACACTATTCCAGTGAAGTGCAACTTACAAGATGATTACGACGAAAAACGGCCGCTGCTCGGCGTGAATTATTATCACTACTGGCTGGCGAATGCACACAGTTAGTTACTCTTTTGTTTCGCGGCTGCGAATTTACATTCCTCATTAGTAGACGAAGCTGCTTTTCCAGCGCACCGACCGACAAACGAAGGAACGCTTCAAAGCTCTCGGTACAAATGGCTGCGAGCGTTTCTCTGCTCCAACTTGAAAACAGTTGATGAATATTTATTCGCACCAAGTGTTGACGACGAATTTTGCGAATATTGAAAGCAACAACACTGTAGTTTAAGCTAAGAGTTGACAGTCCTCGGTGGATTTCACAAGACAAATTAAAACCGGCTCGTTGAAAGAAAAAATGAAGAAGAGCATTAAACATACATTTACAAAATATTGCTTATTGATATAATGAACAAATTTTCATAATTTTTTGTCACTTTTCATTGATTCTTCTCATGTTTTCTTTATTTTTTTTTTCATTTTATCAACAAGGTTAGGCTCGGTTTAAATTTTTTCAACACCAATTATAGCTACACAAGAGAATTACTGCAGAATTCGGAATTCCAGGACACGCGTCCGAATTTTAAAATTAAAAAGGGAACAATTCGCATGGTTGCGTGCGTGCCACAATTGAAAATTATAAAATTTCACGCATTTTTCCGCCGGGCAATTGTGTCGTGTTTATTTTTCGTGTCGGAATTATTTGCATATTTTCACGTGGAGTTAAAACAACAACAAACAGAGCGCGAGCACTTAGAAAAGAGACACACGCGCTCCAGTTTTGTGTTGACGGCATTTTGCGCCGCGAGCGCATAATACATTTTTGAGCAGGCTGTGTGGAGTTGCCAACCGTTAATTCAACTATATTACAGACACATACGTGGCTGGCTAATTACAGAGTGATGCTCTTTAATATACATACAGCGAAAACGTTTTAGACTGGAGCGCGCATCTTTTTTGCTGCCTTTTCAAAAGGGGACACACGCTGCTGCTCAAAAATTTCTCATTAATTTATACAAAACAAGCTGGGGGAGGCTCAACTAAATATGATGATGATGATGACGCTACATTTATGACCGCAGCAGTTGATATTTTTGCGGTTTTTTGCCAGGGGAATACACACGCTCGCCGGGGAAATATTTCGAATGTGTTATTTTTTGCAGTCATTATTGCAGTTAATTAAAAACGGCACCGAATATCTCATCCATAATTTATCAGCGCCGGGACGCATTAATTCGGAATTTTTCTGTGATTTCCACCGAAAAATCACACTCTTTTAAATAATGGAAATGGAAAATCGATTATTTTTTCAGTCTCTCTGGAGAGGGATCGAGCTGTTTTGGGCGTGACGTCAAATTATATTTGTTGTTTACGTTGGGGAGAGTGTTTGCGCTCTAGTATTTATGTAACCAACGCCTCTGCCGCTGCACCCCCGACAATCAATTTTTGATGCATCATCCGCGGGTCAAAATACGCACGATTAATTACTGCATAATAGCGCTCTGCTGTAATTAATACGGAATGAATTATTTAACCCCTTGGGAATTGAGACCAAGCAAGTTTAGTTTTGTATTAAAGCAATATATCTCAATAAATTTGAATAAAAAGTCCAGTTATTTTGAGCTGATTGCAACAAATTAAGGAAAAAAAACGTATATAAACAAAAATTCCAAAATGTGTATCATGCAGCGATTTTTCAATACATTGGTATTGCAATTTACTAATCATTTACAATCCATTAGAATAATTTTTTGAACAAATTATTTCAGTGGAACAGTTTAATTTGTCCACCGTGTTATTTTCTCTTGTCCGGTGCTCCACTCGAATCCTTTGAAGGACCCTTTTTGAACGTGCGGAGGAAATAATTTGCACTTTTGGAGTGCAAATGTGCGTGGGTGTGCCTGGGTAGAAAGGCAGGAAGGAATCACACAGGCGGCGGCTACGAAATCTGAATTCCGGCAGCAATGCAAACCGAGCAGCCTCGAGTGTTTTGACATAAAAGGAAAGGAAAACACGCGGCGGCAGGGAGAGAGTGAAGAGCGAGATTGCAACTCAATATTGTATGTGTGTGCTCTCTCTGGTTGCCTGTTGTGTGCGAATTATGCAGTCACTTGTGTGTCCCTCCCTGCTTTTATATTTGATATGACACACCCTCGACGACGACGTACGCGAGGGACGGATGGATACGCAAACACGCTCGTGTATCGCTTTCACAGGCTTAACTTCATATTTTAGGTATTCAGGTTACAAATTACCTTCATGTCAAACACGCGGCGGCAGCGGCAACACCCAGAACGTATCCAGATTCGTGCGTGCAAAGTCCTCTCGCAGCCTCCCTCTACATTTTTCAAACTTTGCTCAGCACAAAGTTTCAAATTTAATTTTCCTGTTGCCGAAGGAGAAGAATTTTTCAAGAGATAATAGGAAAAGTGTTCCCTCGGATTTTCTCTTTCGGAAAGGAGAAGTGCAGCACGCACGAGCTAAGTTTCTCTCCCTTGTCAAACAAAAGACTTTATAATCTCATGAGGAAACACACGAAAACTTCAGGCACAAATTTTGATAAGATACGCATGAATTGATAGATGTCGGGTGTAGTAACTTTGCCAAGTCTATTCCAGTTTTTTTTTTTATCAAAACATTCAATCTGTTTATAGTTGATTTTCATCTCAAAATTCAACATTGAAATACAACTGCCGTTTGAGGTGGGAAATTGATTTATTTTAAATGAATTTCGGATGCAAACTAAAATTATATTTTAACCCCGCTAACAATAAGAAAAAATACAAAATCTTTTAATCATATTTTTCTACTGGTTATAGTATTCTTGTTTATTTTCCCAACTTGTTAACATTTTAAGTTGATAAGAATTATGAAACGTATTTTTTTTTTTTTAAATTAGATTTTGCTAAAAATTTAAGATTTATCAAGAAGACCCCCATTATATATCACAAACACAATAATTATTTTTATTGGGATATTTGAAGTACAAATCAGTATACATTATATGGATCTGTTTGATATAAGATACACGGAATAAAAAAGGAAAAGCAATATTTCAATTTTGGAAACACTGAAAACATTTTGTTATTATTATTGTTTTTTTTTTTTTTGTAATGATAAATTTTGAGAAAATCCTCTATCATAATCATGAATAAAATAAAATTGGTCCTTAACTGTGGCTTCTGTTTTGTATTTTTATGAGAAATGTTATACAATTCAATGATGTTCAATGCATTTATAATATTCCAATTATTTTCACCAATGTTTCTTTAAAGTAAATTGATTAATATTTTCTGTATATTATTTTTAGCCTTGATTCCAAAATCTTATCAATTCTGCGCAGAACTGTGCAGGAAAAGCGTGCCAATACTGCCAATATTTATATTTTGTTGGCAGAGGGAATGTTTACCCAATGCACTTTCAAAAATAAATAAATATACATCGAATCAGATATTGAATAATTCAGCGAGCTAATAAAATTCTTGGCCACTTATTAAATTAGGCCGCGCTCTTTTTACGAGCGGAGCGTCGGCGGCTCGCATTCCAATCGGAGCGAAATTCCTGAAGAAGCCGCCGCAGACGAAATACCTGGCCATCGATTAGTGCGACGAGGACTTCAAAGTCGCGCGCGCTGATGAAAATATCCGGCGAGATTCCGACCCAGCTATTTTGCATCAATCCGAGGCAGCCAGCCAGCCGAGCAAGAAGTAAACTTGAAACAATATTGGCCTGCTGGCTCACATATCCCAAGTGTTTGGCTCCAAACGACCTCCGCCGACAATAAAGCAGCAGCCACCCTCTCTCTGCCTGCCACCCCCGCCAGCCCGCCCGCCCACCCACCCACCACGCCAGCTGCTTGGTCGATACAAGAAGGCAAAACTTGCCCCTTTGATAGCGAGCGAGCCACTTTGTGGGCCGCGCTAATGCATGTTCGAGCCGAGCAACCTGCGTGAGGAGCGTGTGCGACCCTTGCAAACTTGATTTTGCTCTAATGCAATCTTGCCGATTGAGCACCCCGTCAAG